TCTGATGGTGTACCCGAGCTGTCAGACGGTGTACCCGAGATGTCTGATGGTGTACCCGAGCTGATTGGCAGGATACCTCGAGCTTATTAGAAAGATAACCCGAGGTGTTGAAGTTCGGCTCGGTCTCAAAGGATGGTTGAAATCCGACCCCAACAGTTAGCCCCCTAGCTTGTTGACTTGGGGAGCAAGTGTAACGAGCTTCATGAACGAGCAGACCGAGCTGTTAACTTCTGCTTCGAGTCGCAAGTGAACCTGAGGCGGCACTCTTAGAACCGTTTGTTTTTCTTCCTTTTTGTTGTAGTGTAAGATTGTGAGGATGGCTTTATCCAAACGAACATGAATGTTTCATTAATTCTGCACGTATTCTTGAAACGTTTCTCGTTCTTTTGAAGCGGCTTTCATGATTCGAAGTGTTTCTCTTTTTGACTTGGAATGAGGACGTTCTTACTCCTCCGAACCGTTTCAGCTTTAGAACTAAGTTAAACACTTGTGTACCAGTGTTAGGATAACTGGGTTTCTGAGAATATGACTTTATCGTTTTCGGTTAAGTAGAAGTTATTCTTTCAAACCGAAAGAAAAATGAACTGTATACCAGTGTTAAGGTGACTGGGTTTCTGCAAATACGACTTAATCGTCCTCGGTTGCGACCCGATCTGATATAGTCAATATCCAGTGCTTAGAAGCGAACTGGGGCACCAGTGTTAAGATTTTACTGGGGTTTCTGAAGACAATTTCATCTTTGGTCGGATATCTCCGACCAGATTGTCTCGAATGCTTATATAGCGCGCTGTAACCGTGGAGGTGCAGATGAATTTAGTTCGCGGGCGTGGCCATCGCCCAAACGAACCGAACGGAGTTTAGACCGTGTTAAATTCCCGAGGCGAGTTTCGGGGTGAAGATCGTGGGTTTACTTCAAAGGAATAAAGCCCGAGGTGTTAGTCTTAGAAATAAATTCGTTAAAATTTTGAGTGGGAGTATGGATATACGGACCCCACTCCCCCCTCTTTTTGATTCGGGGGGGGTAGCTGAACTCGTCCGAGGACGAGCTGCCTACGTACCCTTTTCAGGGATCAAGCCACCCCGTAGTTCAAATTTACGCATACCTTAGGTTTTTAGCGGTAGTATTTCCTGAGGTGTTTCCACAACTGGGATAGTCTCGGCCTCCTCGGGACCAGTTGTGACGGCAATGGGGCTAGGATTCGTCATCTCCACCTCAGGCTCATCGGTCGCTTTGGGAGGAGCAAGAGTTCCGAGAACGGCCTCCAGAGCTTTCTTCTCTACGGCCGCCTTCTTTTCCGCAAGGTACTTCTCCTTGCTTCGGCCAATCTTCGCCTTTTTATGATTGACCTCGACTTTAGATTGGGCGACGAGGTTTCGAAGTTTATGTGCTGCCATGAAGCACATCCTGGAATTCTTTTGGCTTCCCCATATCGTTTTCACACCGTTAGGCGTCGGGAATTTCAAGCAGAGATGGTATGTCGAGGAGACAGTTCGCATTACGTTTAACCATGGGGTGCCCATAATGGCGTTGTAGATGGTCGGCTGATCTGTGACAGAGAAATCAACTATCTTCGTTATTCCACTGGCCTGGACTGGCATCTGAATAGTTCCGAGTGTCATTAGGGTTTCTCTAGAGAATCCAAGTACTGGCCTCGGAGTCTGGTTTACTTGCGACATGCTGATGTTCATTTGCCGAAGCGTCTCGCAGAAAATGACGTCAATAGTGCTGCCGGTGTCGATCAACACCCTTGATACGTCGTGATCTCCGATGGCAAGCGTGATGACCTTGTTGTGTCCACCTGTTCGGGCTGAACTTGTTCTAGTTGTAGGTCTTTGAGGGTTATGTTCGTCCCAAGCTCTCCGGCTATAAATTTGGCCGCTAATATTGCTCCGAGGCTCCTGCATCTGGAAGTGTGATGCCCGAAGGTCTTGTGATGCTCGCAGTATTCTTTTTCGTCATCTTGGGGTTGACTTCTTGTCCAAGTGAATGAATCTCTTCCTCGCCCACGGCCTTGGCCTCGGCCTACGTCGACTTGATAGTTGTGGGCTCCTGAGAAAACGTGCCCCTCGTGGTGCGTGTACGTTTCACTCTGATTCGGCTTCATCTGGCTCAGCGGTCCTGTTTGGGCGTTCTCGGTTCGGGATGCTTGCTTTGTCGGATCGTGTCTCTTTGCTAGTAGCTCCATTTCTTCTTCGTGGGCGACGAAATCTGAGGCTCGGTGCAGCGCGTCGCGAATTGTAGTAGGTTTGGATAGGTTCAGCTCTTTTCTGAATTCTGACTTGTACCAGAGAGCTTTCTTCAAAGCCGAAAGGGCAGCTACGTCTGTGATTCCCTCAACCTTGGCTAGCGTTGATTTGAAAGTCGTGAGGAAATCTCTTAACGGCTCGTTGGGCTGTTGAGACAGAGACCACAGATCTGCGTCGGAAGTTCCGGGGTCGATGAGCACAGAGTATTGCTTGAGGAAAAGTGTTGATAGCTCGTCGAAACTATCAATTGAATTTCGATCTAGTCTTGAAAACCAATCCAATGCGGGTCCCTTGAGGTGTTCCACGAACAGTAAGCACAGACCAGCATCCTTTTCTCCGGGTTTGAACCTGGCTCGGGCCACGGATATTACGAATGATTTAATATGACCCTTTGGGTCGGTTGTCCCGTTGTAAGAGTCGATCTTGAACTTTCCCAGATCAGAAATCGTTGCTTCGGAAATTCTTCTGGTGAAAGGCGTATTGCGAGATTCTTCCAAGATTCGGTCGATATTAGGTGCCGAGGAGGAAACGCTATACATCTGGGACTTGACGAGCTTCATATCGGCTTCCGCTTTGGCTAGAGAGGCTCGGATTTCGCCGAGCTCGCGATCTCTTTCGGTATATGTATATGTGGATGATTTGAACATCCTTGGAACCTCTGGGGGAATCGCCCAAACAGTCGAATATCTAAAGAAAGAATTCGAGATGAAAGACCTAGGCAAGACAAAATTCTGTTTGGGATTGCAACTTGAGTACGTGAATAATGGAATCCTTGTGCATCAAAAGGCATATACTAAAAAAGTACTCAAGAGATTCAATATGGACCAGGCCCACCCATTGAGCAGCCCAATGGTGGTGAGAAGCCTCCACTACAGGAAATGTGGGTATTGATAGCACTAAAAGATAGCGGTTTTTATGTCTCTGCTATGTTTTACGAGATTTGTTTAGGGTTTTAATTTAGGGATACGACTTGCGAGAATTCTCAGAGAACAACAAAACGGATCGAAACCAAAGATGGTGTTCTTGGTATTATTAAGAAAAAGATAGCTTTTATCGTACAAGAGTTTGATCGTAAAAGAAAAAGTGTTTGCGCTTTGAGAGCTTTGTGTAGTCTAAATTCTAGAGCGATATTGCCTCCCGTTCTGTGAGAGCCTTGAGTCTTCTTATATAGGGATGGTAAACCGCCTCTCCAGCGATATTCTCGGAAGATTTCCATTTATCTTGAAGTCCGCTTAGAATATCGCGGATTAGGATAGTTTCCTTATTCTTCGGGGTTTTCGGAAGTTTTCCTAATTTGAGTTGATCCTTCGAGATTCTCCCTTATCATTTCCGGGCATTTCGGAAATGATCCTTCTTTTTCGGAAATGATGCCTTGTTTTAGAAATGGTACTTTGAAGGTGAATATTTTACTAAGTCCTTGCCTCGGGCAACTGATGAAGAAGACTTCCTCCTCGGTGACTGAGGACTTCTCCTCGGGTGTTTTGTCCGGTAAGCACCTGAGGCTGCTCTGGCGAAGTTGGCTAGGGAACACGGGTGAAGTCGCCTCGGGGACATGGGTGAAGTCGCCTCGGGGACACGGGTGAGGTCGGCTCGGGGACACGAGTGAAGTCGCCTCGGGGACACGGGTGAGGTCGGCTCGGGAACACAGGTGAAGTCGCCTCGGGACGGGATAACGGTGTCGTATACAACCATAACAGAGGCGCTTTGGGTGTACCCCAGCTGACGGTGTACCCAAGCAATCTGACGGTGTACCCGAGCTGTCTGATGGTGTACCCGAGCTGTCGATGGTGTACCCGAGCTATCGATGGTGTACCCGAGCTGTCTGACGGTGTACCCGAGCTGTCTGATGGTGTACCAAAGTTGTCTGACGGTGTACCCGAGCTGTCTGATGGTGTACCCGAGCTGTCTGATGGTGTACCCGAGCTGTCTGATGGTGTACCCGAGCTGTCATATGGTGTACCCGAGCTGTCTGATGGTGTACCTGAGCTGTCAGACGGTGTACCCGAGCTGTCTGATGGTGTACCCAAGCTGTCTGACGGTGTACCCGAGCTGTCTGATGGTGTACCCGAGCAGTCTGATGGTGTACCCGATCTGTCTGATGGTATACCCGAGCTATCATATGGTGTACCCGAGCTGTCTGATGGTGTACCCGAGCTGTCAGACGGTGTACCCGAGCTGTCTGATGGTGTACCCGAGCTGATTGGCAGGATACCTCGAGCTTATTAAAAAGATAACCCGAGGTGTTGAAGTTTGGCTCGGTCTCAAAGGATGGTTGAAATCCGACCCCAACAAGATGTTACACCGAAAGTGGCTGCTGTAGATGATGAGGTAGAAGATGTAACACCAGAAGCTGTGGAAGAAGAAAAGGGTAATGACAAAGATATAACACCGGAGGCTGATCAGACTGAGAAAGCAATGTCTGAAGATGAGAATGAAGGAGAAGCTTGTTTGACTGGACAGGGCCAGGAGGAGGATGAAGAAGAAGAAGCTTGTTTGACTGGACAGGACCAACAAGAGTATCATCAAGAAGAAGCTGCCACTATGGAAGTAGCTGCGAATAATGAAGAAGTTGCCAATATGGAAGAAGATGGTGTTGGCAATGGTCAAGATAAAGCGATTCCTACCAACACTGATGAAGGAAGTCAGGTACCATAAGAAAGAGTGAAATTAAGAAGAAAAAGAGGACCAACAAAGATGCGTGAAGTGGCTGAAAATCCTAATGAAAGGGTTTCAGTTTCTTTCACTGACTTTGGTGATCATGTTGGAACTGGTTCAGTAAGATTATCATCTTTTTTTGGTGTCCTCGTGAGTCAATTCATTCCGGTTACAATTTCTGATTGGAGACAAGTTGATGCAGCGACTAAAGAAACATTGTGGGAACAAATTCAGGTATATATTTATATGCAACTAATTTTTTGTTTAACAGATATGAAACATGTTTGATCTTTGCTTGTTGTACTTGATGCAGGGGAGGTTTGACATGGAAGAAGAATGGAAAAAAGCTGTTATTATGAAGCAAATGTGTAATATCTTTAGGGGTATGAAGTCAAGACTAGTGACAAAAGTACGTGCTGCTAAGACAACTGCTGATATACTAGCTTTAAAACCCAGCAACATCCCATCCATTCAAGTGTGGAACTCTTGGGTTAAGAGCAAGACTAGCAAAGCTTTTACGGTTAGTATGAAGTTTATATGTTTATATGTCATGTCTTATAGATTTAATCACACTCATATTTATAATGTAGGAAGTAAGTAACAAGATGAGGAAGTTGAGACATGATCAGATTCCTCAAACCTCCAGCCGCAAAGGATTGGTTCGTTTAGCTGATGATATGGTAATAATAGTTGTCAATATCTATATATATTGTATATCTTGTTAGCATAAAATGGTACTGAGATATGTATATGTACTTTATATAGAAAAAAAAGAGTTCAAACCCAAGTAAGGTGACTAGGACTAAGGTATGGTTAGCGGGACACACTCATGCTGATGGTAGACCTGTGAAGCCTCAATTTGCTGAGACTATTGTAAGAATTCTGGAACTTGTTATATTGTGTGTAAGTAATGCATCATGATCAATGAGTTTTAATATTGTGTTTGAATGTTTGTCTCAGAAACAAATACAATCACTTGATAGTGAAAAGGACTCTACATCAGCTGCTGATAACATAAGGGAAGATGCTGTGAGCCAGATTTTGGGAAAAGACAAACCTGGACGAGTAAGGGGGTTTGGTAGAGGGATTACGGCTACTAAGTTAGCGTTTATGCAAGCTAGAGACGCAAAAATGGCAGAAATGAAAAGTGAGATTGATGAGTTGAAGGGAATGTTTAGAGACTTAGCTGGAAAGAAGGTAATCATTTTCATTACATTTAGTCAATTGGTCTGGTTTTAAGACATTAACAAAATTCCTTTTCCTTATCTCAGAAAAGTTATTGTGAGACTGAAACATGTGAGAGTAGTGGTGTATTCAAAGTAGGAGATAGAGTACAACTACTGGATTGGATTCATTCTGGAGAAGTAGTTGTTGGTGAAGGAGAATTCTGTTCTGATGAACCGATGTACAAAATTGGTCGTATACCAATTGGTCCTAATGCAGTGGCTGTCATTGTTAGTTCTGTACTAAGCTCAAAAGCTTCTCTCTGGAGGCCTACATCAGATGTGTTATATCTTAAGGAAGCTGTTGGATGCAAAATATCTTGGCCAATGGACAAAGTGCTTAGGGTTCCATTCACTTCTGAAGATGTATCCTTAGGGGTAAAGTTTTAAATTCCAATATCATTTTCTTGTGGTGAATTGATATATATCTAATCATTAGCCTCTTATATTTTAGCCAAACAAGGAAGGTGAAACTCGAAGCTGCAAAATATTTGATTGGGAAAATATAGAGAATGATGAGCTTATTGCTGAAGGTATCGTGTGCTCATCTAACTCCAAAGAGAGGGTTAACAATATTCCTCTAGGTCTGGGTGCTGTTAGTCTTCAAGTTGTGAAGGTGTTCAATTTTAATGCTCCTTTGTGGAGGCCAACTGCTGATATTAGTGTAATTGGTGAAGCAATTCATGAGAAAATCGCATGGCCAGTCCTAAAGATTGATGTCACGGCTGCAGCCACTCCAGAACCAACACTAACTAAATCAGTGGTATGTTATTGAAATTAAGTTTTTCATTTGTTTGTCTGTTGATTGATGTTGGGACTTTCATTGATGTTGGAACTTGCTTCTATTATTTGCTTTGAGTTGTAGAGTCCATGCAGCAATAGTTCCACCAAAAGTCCAAAGCAGAAGTGTGTTCTTTTAGACTGCAACAATTCTGGTCGTATTGTAGCTGAAGGAACAGTGATGTCAACAGATCCAGAAGATAAGTGCCATAATGTGCCCCTCGGTCCAAATGCAAGCAAGGTCTCTGTAGATTTGATTAAGATTGGTAATGCAAAGGTTTGGAGGCCAAATTCAGAGTTTGTGTTCATTTCTGATGCAGTAGGTTCAGTTGTACCTTGGCCAACCGAGAAAGTGAAGTTTGTGTGAAACTTAGCCAATTGTGATATTGGTATTGTATTGGTATTGCCGGTTATGGATATTAGATTGTGTAATATTTGTATTGTGATATTAGCATATTTGTATTGTGATATTAGCATATTGGTATTATGATATTAGATTATGGTATTGGTACTTTGTGTAATATTATGGTATAAATTAAAGAGAAATTGTTAAAAAATGCCCCTTTCAATACTCCTTTTCAAAAATGCCCCCTTTGAGAGTCCATTTTTAAGTTTACCCTCTTTTAATTTTTAATGACCATTTTACCCTTATTTGAAACAAAATTAGGTCCACAAAATACAAAATATTTTTTGGCGGGAAAAGTGATCCCGCAATTTTCCCGCCAAAACACTTGTAAAAACCTTTAAAATACCTTGTAAAATTTTCCCGTAAAAATTTTTCCCGCCAAAAATTTTTTTTTGCGGGAAAAGTGATTCCGCAATTTTTTTGGCGAAATTTTTTTGGCGGGAAAATTTTTGGCGGGAAAAATTTACAAGGTATTTTAAAGGTTTTACGGAGTATTTACAAGTGTTTTGTAAGGTTTTACAAGGTACTTATAAGGTTTTATAAGGTATTTATAACTTGTAAAACCTTATAACTTGTAAAACCTTATAAAATAGCTTGTAAAATCTTATAATATCTTATAAATACCTTATAAATACGTTGTAAAACCTTTTAAAATACATTGTAAAACCTTATAAATACCCTGTAAAAAACCTTTAAAACCTTGTAAATTTTTCCCGCCAAAAAATTTGCGGAATCACTTTTCCCGCCAAAAAAGATTTTTGGCGGGAAAATTTTTTGGCGGAAAAAAATTTTACGGGAAAATTTTACAAGGTATTTTAAAGGTTTTTACAAGTTTTTACAAGTGTTTTGGCGGGAAAAATTGCGGGATCATTTTTCCCGCCAAAAAATATTTTGTATTTTGTGGACCTAATTTTTTTATATTTCCTTATATATTTGTGATATCTTTTATTAAAAGAAGGGTAATTTAGTCATTTTGTACATAAAAAGAGGTATTTTTAAAAATGGACAGCCAAAAGGGGTATTTTTGAAAAGGGGTATTGAAAAAGGGGCATTTTTGTGAGTCTCCCTAAATTAAACTCTAAATTAAAGTTAAAATCTTAAATTAAATCTCTAAACCCTAACCCTTAAAGTTTAAACTCTAAATTAAAGTTTAAACTATAACACATAAATACTTGAGTAAAAAAATCTAAATCCCAAAGTTTAAACCCTAAACCCTAACCCTTAACCCTAAACCCTAAACCCTAAACCCTAAACCCTAAACTCTAAACTCTAAATTAAAGTTAAAATCCTAATTAAATTAAATCTTTAAAACTCTAAATTAAAGTTTAAACTATAAAACATAAATACTTGAGTAAAAAAATCTAAATTCCAAAGTTTAAACCCTAAACCCTAAACTATTCCTTAGTGTATATGAACATATAAGTTAGATAGTTGGAATACTAACCTATATTAATTGTTCTTAATTTTAAAATTTTATACTTATAAGAAAAAATATTTTAAAAATTGAAATACATATATTGTATTTTTAAAGAAATAATTTATATTTTTTTCATTAATAAAAAATTTTATATGATAATGTTATGATTTTTTCATTACTAGCCAATGAGAACTCACCTCCCACATTGTGGGACGAATCCTGCACCGTTAGATCGCGCCGACTTTGATCTGAGCTGTCCTTTCTTATTGTTAACGCGATTAATATACCCCCTTGATCTGTATCGCTGATTTGATCTGAGCCGTTCATGGTCTTAGCCAATAAGCTAAGACTACCGAGATTACAGTCTAGGCGAAACATACACCGTTGATCTCTCTCGCTGATTTGATCTGAGCCGTTCATGTTCTTAGCCAATAAGCAGTAACTACCGAGATTGCAAGCTTATTGAACCTAGACCGTTGATTCGTTTCACTAATTTTGATCCCATCCGTTCATTTTTTATATTTTGATTTAGGGTTTATCATTTCAGAACACAAATTTTCAGAGAACACAACTTCCCCAAATCGATTTTACCAAAAGTTCATCATTTCAGAACGGATTCATCTCCATCGTGACCAAATGGATAAGACGTGGATCTCGCTGCCAAGGTATACACTTAATTCTATCGAGCTTACTTATATTATCTGATTGAAAGAAATCTGAATTCTTTTCCAATTGACAATGTAGGAATACTATCGAGTACTCAGAAGGAGCAACGAATTTCGCCAATTCATCTGCAAGAAGATTGGGAAATCTGTCTGAAATGCTATGCCCATGTAGAGATTGCCGCAATTTATGCCATAAGTCTATAGAGGAAATTGTTGAGCATCTAGTGCTTAGGGGTATGGATAAGAAGTATAAGACTTCTTGTTGGAATTTTCATGGTGAAAAAAGAGCAGATACAGAAGACAATGCTCCTCAACATGAAACAGAGGCATTTGACTTGTTTAAGACATCATTTTCTATGGGTGAAGGTGAACCAAATCAGACGAATGATGATGAAGCATTAGAGGCAAACGACGATGAAGCAGTAGAGGAAACTGAGTTTAGGAAAAAGTTAAGAGAAGCTGAAACTCCATTGTACTCTGATTGTATCAAATACACAAAGGTTTCAGCAATTATGGGACTTTACAGATTCAAGGTTAAGAGTGGTGTGTCGGAGAACTACTTTGATCAGCTGTTGGGTTTAATTCAGGACATGCTACCTGAAGACAATGTACTTCCGAAGAGTTTAGATGCAATCAAGAAATTCCTGAAGATATTTGGTTTCGGATATGAAAATATTCATGCTTGCAAGAATGATTGCATACTATATAGGAAGGAGTTTGAGAAGTTAGATAGCTGTCCAAGATGCAAAGTTTCAAGATGGGAAAAGGATAAACATAGTAATGAGATAAAGGTTGGGATTCCAGCAAAGGTCCTTAGATATTTTCCAATCAAGGACAGATTTAAGAGGATGTTTAGATCAAAAAAGATGGCTGAAGATTTGAGGTGGCACTATACGAATGGCACTGAAGATGGTACAATGCGACACCCCGTTGATTCTATCCAGTGGGCACAAGTGAATGATAAATGGCCAGACTTTGCTGCTGAACCAAGGAATCTTCGACTTGGAATTTCTACAGATGGGATGAACCCTTTCTCCATGCAAAACACCAATCACAACACATGGCCAGTGATGTTGGTGAACTATAACACGCCTCCAACTATGTGTATGAAGGCTGAGAATATAATGTTGACTTTGTTGATCCCTGGTCCAACAGCTCCTGGTAATAACATAGATGTTTACTTGGCACCACTGATAGACGATTTAAAAGATTTGTGGGCTGAGGGTATTGAAGTGTATGACTCATTTGCAAAGGAGAATTTCACACTTAGAGTCATGCTGCTTTGGAGTATCAGTGACTATCCAGCCTTAGGAACATTGTATGGATGTAAAGTGAAAGGGAAACAAGCTTGCAATGTATGTGGAAAGCATACACCTTCCAAATGGCTTAAGTTTAGCCGTAAGTTTGTCTATATGGGGAATAGAAAGAGACTACCGCCTGGCCATCGTTACAGATATAAAAAAGCTTGGTTTGACAACACTGTTGAGGAAGGGACTGCCAATAGGATACAAACTGGCTCTGAAATATATGAGACACTACAAGCTTTTAAGAATGATTTTGGAAAACCTCTAGATAAGGAAACTAAAAGAAAAAGAACTGAGTTGGATCAAGATGAGGTGGTTGAAGAAGAAGAGTGTGAAGAATCAAATGATCTATGGCGGTGGAAGAAGAGATCAATATTCTTTGAACTACCTTACTGGAAGGTAATGTAAACTATTTGAACTATATTCTCTTATTGTTGGATCTGAATAAGCCTAACAGTTTCTTATTTAATGTGTTAGGATTTGCTTGTTCGTCACAATATTGATGTTATGCACGTAGAAAAGAACGTCTCAGATGCTATATTGTCTATCTTGATGCAAAGTGCTAAGTCAAAAGATGGTTTGAAAGCAAGAAAAGACTTAGAAGATATTGGAATCAGAAATCACTTACACACAGAGGTCCGGGGAAAGAAAACATACTTACCTCCAACAGCCTATTGGTTATCCAAGAAAGAGAAGACAATTTTCTGCCAAAGATTATCTAAGTTTAGAGGTCCTGATGGTTATTGTGGTAATATTGCAAATAGTGTTTCAGTTACCCCTCCAAATATAGGTAGTTTAGAGTCGTATGATCATCATGTCCTAGTACAGAACTTGTTACCAGCTGCATTAAGAGGGTTGTTACATAAGGGTCCTAGGATTGCCATAAATAGATTATGCAGTTACTTCAACAGGTTGTGTCAGCGAATCATCGACCCAGAGAAACTTATGACAATGGAGACAGAGTTTGTGGAAACAATGTGTCAACTGGAGCGCTTCTTCCCTCCATCCCTTTTTGATATCATGTTCCACCTTCCAATACATCTATCAAAAGAAGCACGTTTGGGAGGACCAATACACTTTCGCTGGATGTATCCATTTGAAAGGTTTGAAATATGTACTCATTTGATTCAATATATGTATTACTGCAATGATATTGGACTAATATTCATTTCTTGACTGAGTTATAGGTACATGAAAACACTTAAGGCTTTTGTTAAGAATCATGCAAGGCCAAAAGCATGTATGGCTGAGGGGTATTTAGCTGGAGAATGCGTTGCATTTTGTTTAGAGTTCCTTAAAGATTCAGTACCAGTTCAAGAAACAGTTAATCGCAATGAAGATATTGAGGCTGATAGAAGCGTGGTTGAAGGTCGACCTCTGCAGAAGGGTATAGAAGTTACCCTATCAGATAAAGATAGAGACAATGCACATCGCTATGTGCTAATGAACATGGCATCTTTGGATCCTTATGTCGAGTAAGAGGTTACCCTTTATGTCCCATCTACTAATTATGATTATAATTTCATTCTCAAGACTGTTGTTTAATGTAAAATCAGGATGCATTTGGAAGAATTACAAGCTAATGATGCTCGATGTGCTAAAAGTGAAACTTTGTTATGGAAAAACCATACTGAGCAGTTTGCACAATGGCTTAAAAAAAAGGTTTACAGCTGCAACTTGTCTTCTTGATTATTTGTTATACAACTTGTTAAATTGACTGGTTAGCTTGATGTCTGGTTTTCTTGGCACAGAATTGTTAGCTTCATGATCATGTTTTGCTTAATGACTGGTTAGCTTAGCTTGTAGCTTGATGTCTGGTTTTCTTGGCACATATTAATTGTTAGCTTCCTGATCATGTTTTGCTGTTGCAGATTCATTCAGACTCAAGAAATAGTCATTCTAAGGAGATAAGGTGGTTGGCATTTGGACCAAGAAATGTTGCTTTAGCACATAAAGGATTTATCGTTAATGGGCAACGGTTTCATATAGATGCGGTTAAGCGGAAGACACAAAACAGTGGCATAACTTATGAAGCATTTAGCATGTGTAGATCAAGTGCTCGAGATATGAGACAAGTCGCTAATGTGCTTACATATTATGGAGTGATAAAGGAGATTTTACTTATGGACTATGACATGTTCAAAGTGCCGCTGTTTAGATGCAATTGGGCCAACACAGGGAATGGTGTGAAGGAGGAAGATGGTTTCACTCTTGTTAACCTTCATATGAACCAAACAGCCTATTTGAAAGATCCATTCATTCTACCTTCTCAAGCAAAACAGGTTTTCTATTCTAGGGAAGATGATAATTCAAATTGGTATGTTGTTATGAGAGCACCACCTAGAGGCTATCATGAATTGGAAACAGAAAAGGATTTAGGTGGTGCACCTTTGCCTGTCCAAGAAGTCGATGATTTGGATGATGAAGCTTTTGATGATTGTGAAGGCTTGTTAGTGGTAGATTGATAGGTATGTTTGTGGTTTTTGTAAACAATGAAAATTGAAATGGGTTATTAAACATTTTAATGGTATTTTTTTTTTACATATATTATATATAAATTAAAATATAATTCGTAATTATTTATTATTTTGAATAATTTAAAAACAAACTAATAACACAAAACAAATGCTATCTTTGCTATAGGTAAAATCTAATTAACGAGTTTTACTAACATCTTTATCACGCTATTATAAACATTAACAATTGCACAAAAGACAACGCTATCGTTGTATACTTAACTATTGCACAACGCAAAACCGCTATCAAAAGTGTCCGACTTTCTATAACGGGCGATGTCAGAGCGCTTAAGAAAACGCTATGGTAGATGAATAATTGCGTTTTTCGGCCGCTATTAATACCCACATTTCCTGTAGTGCTCGGATTGGATAGTGATCCATTCGGTCCAAAGAAGGACGAGGAAGAAGTTCTCGGTCCTGAAGTACCATACCTCAGTGCCATAGGAGCGTTAATGTACTTGGCTAGCCACACTAGACCAGACATTTGTTTTGCCGTGAACCTCCTATCGAGATTTAGCTCATGTCCGACCCAAAGGCACTGGAACGGAATTAAACATCTTTTACGTTATTTACAAGGAACTGTTGATTTGGGTCTATTCTATACTAACCATAACAAAGAAGGTTTAGTTGGTTTTGCTGATGCAGGTTATCAATCAGATCCGCATAATGGTAAGTCACAAACAGGTTATGTGTTTACACACGGTGGAACCGCGATTTCGTGGCGTTCAATGAAGCAAACCATCTCAGCCACTTCATCCAATCACGGGGAGATCTTGGCAATACATGAGGCCAGCCGTGAGTGTATGTGGTTGAGGTCGATGACTCAACACATACGATCTAATTGTGGCATGGACGATGAGAAGGGACCAACGGTCATGTACGAGGACAATGCGGCCTGTATCGCTCAGCTCAAAGAAGGTTACATCAAGGGAGATCGGACGAAGCACATCCTACCTAAGTTCTTCTTCACACATGATCTACAAAAGGATGGAGAAGTTCAAGTGGTACAGGTCCGATCCAGTGACAATTCAGCCGACCTATTCACTAAGGCCTTACCAACATCGACAGTGAGGAAGCTCACACATCAAATTGGAATGCGAAGACTTAAGGACTTTCAGGGATGACCAAAACAAGGGGAGTAATACGTGCTGTACTCTTTTTCCTTCACCATGGTTTTGTCCCAATGAGTTTTCCTGTTAAGGTTGGGTTTTCCTGTTAAGGTTTTAATGAGGTAGCATCCCCAAGCGTATTACTGAGATCCTTTGGCATCTACACGGTTATGTCATCCAAGGGGGAGTGTTGTAAACCACATAACGGATGGACTCTATAACCGTGGCACATGTCCATGTTCTAGAAGGCCCATGTCTAGCTTCTAGAAGACTCGCCCAACCGACCAAGGCCAAAGACGGTTTATGTTAGTCTTAGTGGGCTTTAGTGTTTCGTAGTCCAATTGGGATTTGTCTCCCCTATTGTGTATATAGGATAAGTTGTAATCTCATTCATTAATCAATAAGAATACACGAGATTCATAACAAAAAAAAAAAATATATATATATATATATATATATATATAGGGTCATTGAAATAAGACGAAAATCAACCACTTATCACAATTTAAATAAATTTGAGGTTGATTTTTCTAAAATATTTTTCTTTTCCTAAAATTCTCTCTTTGTATCAACACTTAAACAAATAGCTAGTGTAATTCCTCTACAATGTTCCTTTTAATCTTTTATAAACAAAGGTAAGAACAACTTTATTGGCGTCTATTACATAGAAACTCCCTATTAAATTAAAAGATATTGTTATTTTATAGTTGAGATACCCTACCCAAATGGGTATTATTCAACTGATGAAGATGATGCTTTGTGAAGAGACACCATGTTGTTTGTGTCTTATGAAAATTAAGTAACTTCCCAAAACTATCGGTTGACTAAACCGATTCGATATGTTACCATATGATGGGTGTAAACCGACCATAAACCAACACTATCCCATCACTAGGTTAGTCGCCAATACATAGTTCAATCTAAATATACATTTTTACAGGGGATTTTTGCATAAATTCTTTTGGATCCGGGTTTGACCCAGTTTTAGTCTATTCGGATCTTGGATAAGCAATTTTAGGGATGTTGTCTTAATTTCAAACTGATAAATGAAGCCATGTTGTCTTTAATTCATCTACTTATTCTTATACTATTTCCATATTAATCATCTCCGGATACTTAGCATTTACCATACCTAATTGATTAACTCCATTTTTACCAAAATCAAAACAAATAACTTCTCACATTCCTTAAGTGTATATTGTTCCTTTATTTTCGCAATGCAATCTGCATCAAAGTTATTTTTTGTATCTGTCAATTTAAATCCCTTCCAAATATGTGTTTCCCTCTACTAAACTATTATTTCGCATATTCGTTAAGACTACAATTAATTCTTTTATTAATCATATTCGTTAATTTCCTTAACTTCTTATCACACCTCCATATATATTCTCTTCTTTAATTGAATCCACAATTTCCGCCACATTCAATTCGTTTATATTCAATTCCGTCTCAACGATGAGATTTTGTAAACTAACCATATTTGTTTATCTCATTGTATCCTATTTATATGTTATTTGTTATTTCCTGCCAAAAATAATATATTTAAAACGAAATTAATTACTTTTTAAATATCAACTAAAAGATTTAGGAAATAACAACCATTCCCTCAAATATCTCCATTAATTGTCGTTGAATACTTTCTATAATTTACAATCCCTTACAAATCAATTTAATTACTACCAACAAATCATTTTGGATATTTCAAATCAACAAGATCTCTAACAATACAATTTCATAAACAAACTAATGATGCATTGTTTACAAATCTATACGTTTTCTTTCCAAAAGCAAGATTCCAGTATATATTCTTGCAACTAATCACTCATCATATCTCTAATATCTCTACAAAATCGATTTAAGATAAAAAAAATTATGACTCATAAATTACCATATTCTTGGCATATTCCATATTACTGTAGATTTGAAAGATTTTATCCTTAATTAGTTGCTATTTAGGATTTTTGTTTTGCGTGATAAGCTACGGATATCGACCTAATGTTGAGCCTATAAATAATCTACACCTAAACGCTAATAAACATCACCAAACACCAAAAACCACAGCATACTTTTAAACCATTATACTCACCTTTGTTTTCTTTGATGTTTCTGCATTCTTAGTAATTTCATATAGGACCAAACTTGGGACTTGAATGGTGGCATTGACGTTGTAGCCACGGAGGAGTAAAAGCTTGACATTCAAGACACTATGTAACCGGAAGCTCTGGTAACGCAGGCCACCTTTTCTCCATCGGGCATCTCTCTTCACTTTATCTAATTAGTAGAATTAGTGTGGCTGGTGGGATTCACTATTAAAATGATAAACAAATGCCATAGTTATAGTTTCATACATTTTTAGTTTGATAATCTAATTTTAAATTTGCATTCAAAGATGTGTAAATGTAATTACGCAAAGAAATTGGAAATTTTAGAACTTTGAAATCAAAATTACCTTTGCCTAACTTTGCTTTTAGTACCTCGATTCCCACTTTCATCATCTATGTGGGATTCTTCTTCTACTCCCTAATTAAGGACGAAAGATTCGATTTCATAAGCATGAACAATTATTAGCAAATACTAATCGATTAAAGATTCTTTGGAAATCAAAACCAAAGCATGCTTATGAAATCGAAGAAGGAAATTAATACCTGAAGAACAAAAGATCTATATTAAATGAGCGTCCCATATCATATGTAGCTATTCATCACGGTCGTGCTTGCCAGTTCTGGAAAGATCTTTGGACACCCTTTGTACCTCTTGGAGCACTTTGATGGATCGCTTGGTCCTACTACTGATCCATTGTGTATAATTTTACAATCGAAACAAAAATCGAAAAAGAGAATGAAAATGGTCATGGTTCTCTTGACTGCATCATGGTCACGACTCTCTTCTTCTCACTTCTTTTTTGCCTCGACGGTACCGCTTCTACCTACGGCAATTAGTTGGGCCATTTTGGGCTACTACTTTGCTTGGGTTGGGCTATTTATACATCACACTTATTTCCTCTATTTATCAGTCAAACAATACTTCAAAATTTTATAATTGAGAAAATTGTAATACCATGTTATATTATTTATGATACAAAATGCATAAATATAATTTTGTTTGTGTTCTACTACGGGTTAAATCCTAGAGAATGCCATTACTACAATTTTTTTATCTATTAGTTAATATAAAAAAAACTTTATCTATATAAAAATATATATTTTATCTATATTTACATTAACTAATAATACAAAATATGAATACATATTCAATATTGTTAATTTTCTTTTTATTTTAAATATTTATAATTTTAAGAATTTTATAAACTTTCAAATAAAATAAATATTTGAGTTTTAAGGAAATTCTAAGAAATTTAAACATTATAAATATTTACAAAATATATTAATACGGAACGGTATATTACGGGTGAAATCCTAAATAAAACAATCAAAAGACTATTTGAATTTTGGGTCGATATTATTTTATTAGAAAATGACAAAATGATGTAGATTTCACGGGACAGGTTTATATGGTCGGACGAGGTTGGGTCGATATTAATACAATATGATATACTACAGGTAAAATCCTAGAATTGACAATCAAAATATAACTATACAATCTTAATTCTTAAACACTAAACAAAACTAAACAAACAATATTAACAAAACAAATAAAAAATTTAATTTTAATTTTTTACTTATAACATATCGTCGGTGTACCATACATTTAAATCAAACAAAATAATAATATATATCTATAGATCATCTTAAAAAATTTTAATTTTATTATTTAGTAAAATTATAGGCCCGCGGTACACCGCGGGTTAATATCTAGTATCAAATAAAACATTAGGGTGTGAACTGTGAAGTGTCAACAATGCGGGATTCGTCTAATTGATAAGTTTACCTTAAAAATTATATATCATAAATACATATTAATGAACATTTATAGAAAACTCAATCGATACCAAACCTAAAACGGTTACAAATATTACGGTGCTTTAATAACAAAATTTATTTGGCAACTTCTCAAGCACGCTTTAGTAGTCCCTCTCTCTTCTTCCTCTATATATTAGTCTTCAGATTTTCACGAGAAAATTACTAGAATACTAAACAGTCATGGAGAGACACGATCAAGACTTAAGCTACAAAAAACGGCGATTAGATTCTACGATAACCGGAGATTTTCCAAACCCTAAAGGCGAGGGTTCTTCTGCGGTGGCAAAATTTGTGGACAATGTCTTCTACAGATTGTATTTCAAGGGTTTGGTGAATGACGAGGCGGTTTCGGAGGGTGTAGAAAGGACTGTAAAGGCTGGATTTGGGGTTGCGATTTGCGATGAGAAGGATAATTTGGTGTATCAGATTAAGGAATCACTTAGAGACATTGAGATTAGCCGTATAGGAGTAGAGATCATGGCACTGATTCGTGGGTTAAGTGAATCATTTGATTTGGGGATGAGAAGGGTTGTGATTTATTGCGATGACGATTGGATTTACCAATCTGTAAGTGTTTCTGTTCTTTGTTATTGATTTGGTTTAGTTGTTCTGGAATCATGAGACTATAATGGTGATTTATTTTGCATGTAACATGGAGAAACCACTCCAAAACTAGTTTTTCTAAATAGTATAGGAAACCTAATTTTTTAAAATCTTGAATGGTGAGAAAATAGAGTTTCAAATAACAAAAACCAAAAACTACTAATGCAAGCTTTTTCAAAAAGTCTTGATTATTGTAGAATCTCAGAAGAGTAATGAAGATGTTAACTTTGATTGTGATGATATAAGGTCTTAGTTTAAGGAGAGTGAATCTGATTTTTATTGCAGATAATTGGTAGAGGGAAGTCTAAGAAGAAGATCGACCATCTTGTGGAAGAAGTTCAATGCATTTTAGAAGAAATGGCCTGTAATGATGCTGTTTTGGTTGCGCGGAACGATGTTAAGTCTGCTTTTCGACTTGCAAGAGAAAGCATAAACAGTAGCAGCGTTGATGTGAAGGCAGAACAAGGAGAGAATTGTGTCATTTGTTTTGAAGAAACCGATGCAGAGCGCATGTTCTTTACCAATGAATGCATTCACCGTCATTGCTTTACTTGTGTGAAACAGCATGTGAAAGTAAAGCTTCTTAGCGGAACTGTGCCCACATGCCTTGACTATGGATGCAAGTTTGAGCTCACCCTTGAAAGCTGTAGCAAGGTTTTGACACCAAAGCTGATTGAGATGTGGAAACAAAAGATGAAAGAAGACTCGATTCCCGCTGTAGAGAGAATCTATTGTCCATATCCAAACTGCTCAACATTGATGTCCAAGACCGAGCGCTCTAAATCAACCGATGAAGGGTCAAACCAATCAAATGTTAGGACATGTGTCAAATGCAATGGACTCTTCTGCATTGATTGCAAAGTACCATCGTATTCTGATTTGTCGTGTGCTGATTACAAGAAACTTCACCCTGACCCTCTAGTTGATGACTTGAAGCTAAAGTCTCTGGCAAACGACAAAATGTGGCGTCAATGTGTCAAGTGCAGGCACATGATTGAACTTTCTCATGGCTGCAACCACATGACTTGCAGGTATTTATATATTTATGTAACTTGATTATGCTATTTCATTCGAGTACTTTCATTTCGTAATGTTTTCTTTGTGCGCGCATTGTGTAGATGTGGTTATGAGTTTTGCTATCAATGTGGGATTGAATGGAAGAAAGACCAACAGATTTGTCCTTCTGGTTGTCTACAAACTGGACATGGTGATTATGATGATGAAGATAGCAATGATGATGACTCGGAACATGATTGTGAAGAGGATATGTGTGACTGCTATTACGATGAAGATGGTGTTCGTTGGATTGACTGGGAAGATTTTGTGGATCACCAAACCGCACAGTGATGCTTTGCTCTCTTATTTTACTACTTTGATTCTTAAACTCTCACTGCATTGTTGTGATTGACTTATTTTATGGTTCTTGCAGCTACGACGCACCAATGGATGATCAGGATGTGGTATACAAGTATCCTTCTCCTGAGCAGTTGTTCAGTGAAGAAGGGAATGCTGATGGAAATGATGACAATTGGGACGATTACAACAACTATGGTGGTTTAACTGATTCTGGCGATGAAGGAGGCTTTAATGAGGACTTTTTTAGAGATTATTATTCTCTTTGATTTCTGTTTGGATCAACACAGAGATTATAATATGTTTTGGAACACATTACATTTTGTTTCTTTGGCATTTTCTTTCTTTTATGAATTTTGAGACATTTACAGACACACTGTAGGGTGTGTCCTAGTAACATCTTTGGGGTTTTGATTTTTCAAAACCTTTTTCACCGTGTAATAAATATCATGGAAAAAGCATTAGCGGTAACTCATATTTTTCTTCAAACTCAATTTCTGATATTTATTTAATAAAAAACTGGAGGCCAACATTTTTATTTTTTATTTTTAATTATACTATCACACTATCACATATGTCAAACATAACTTTTCTTAATCTCATTCTCTTAAACCACTAACCAAACATATATATATATATATATTGTAAAGTCCAAACATATATATAAATCTCCTAAACCTATAGTTACCAAAGATTGATAATTTTAAGTTCTTATATTATTCCCTAGTTTAGCTATATCAAAATTTTACAAATTAAATGATTTAACTTTTTAAGAATCTTAACTAATACTATTAATTAAGAAATACATGTATGAACTTCTCCTCAGACTTGAAAACATCAATTTGTATTGTTCTGCAAGTACACTATACAAATCGAATCAAATCAAATATATAAGTAATAATTATAACATACAAATTGTTTTGTTATTATCACCCAACACATGTAAAGTTGATATAGAGAACTATAATTCTCCAATGGAACTTTCATTACAAAGTAGCTCCCGCTACCAAGTCTCAAGTCAAAGCAAGCCAAATCTAGCCAAATCTTAAACACTTATATAAACTTCACATCTTCTACGTAATCTACGAATAAGTGAGCTACTGTACTGGTCTTAAACCCTCCAAGTCCTTGGATTTCAACTTTCCTAACACTATTCATCTCGAGATTGTAGTAGAAAAGATAATAAGGCCGGTCAGATAAACCATACGGCGACAACACAATTTCACATGTCCCATTCATTCCAACAATACGCAGCTTAGTAGTATATTCAACCATATTCCTCCACATAAAAGGCAATACATAGCTACGCTTCGTCCATCCATTTTTCTTGACATCCTCAAGAATCAACAAATCAAAACTTTTACTGCTTCGAGTAATTAGCCCCGAGTTTGAACACTGAAATATACCCAACCGACCCTTGTAGTTAATCAGTCTCGACTCATATTTAACTATCATTCCCTTAGGTTTGTCGATAAAGCTCAACTTCTCATTCCTAACATCAAAACAAACGATAACAACATCCTCTCGATCGCAATTGAGCTTACCAAAATAATAAAAACAACCATTGATGCAAATCCCACCATCAAACACTGGACGAAAAGGTTTGCAACATTGGAGCAATCGCCAAATCATTTTACCACCAGCTCCTAATGTAATAACATAATGCTCTCCATGAGTATTGAATTTATGGTGCGGTGACCATTTAGTGCAAAATACCTTGAATTGTTTCTCAATCGGATCATACCCCAAAACGCTTTTCGACCACATCATCATCGATTTCAATGGAGGCAATGTTACTGATTCACTTGTGATTGGATTACAAATCACAAGCATCCTTCTCTTATCTTCGAGACATACCAATCCACGAACTGGTGGAGAAATTTTAGAGAAACGATCAATTGGTAGATAAGTACCGTGACGAGTGGCTTGAAGAGACGAATTTTGGTGATTTTGAGGTGAAGTGAAGAAAGGTAAGCCACCGTCGAGTATGAAGGCGAATAGAATCAGAGGCTAATTCGGAGATTTGGTCAAGAACAGTTCGTCGAATTCGGGACGGCGAAGAATCGCCGCCCACGATTTCGACACGCGGCGACAGTTGGGTATAGATTTTGCTTGCAATCTTGAGATGATATCGATAAAGACATCAGATGGGATCGAATTGAAGAGTGAAGAAGGTGTAGTGCATCGAGTAATGGTTAGATCACGATCCTCTGAAGAGAGCTGCTTCAGCTTTTTCATGGCGGAATAAAAGAGACATTAACCCTAAAGTGGACTCGGTTTTATAGTGAGAGACTTAAGGCTCGATTTCAGACTGACTTAGTCAGAGTCCATTGGGCCTAATCACTTATTTAACTTCTACTAGGCCCGTTATTCACCATAATAATGAAAATTTCAAAAAATATACAAATTGGTTCTGACCAGCACCTATTAGTGAGAACACACCAAAACCAGTAGCATTATGAGACAAAAACATATCAGAGTCAGCACATATACTGATATACAAGTCTAAAGACCAGCAGCAACACATAGTGAAAATACACCAAAACCAGCACCAACAAAAATCTAAATAAACAAGCAGAATTTGAATGAATCCAAAAACCAGCAACCATGCCAATAAACAAGCTCTCGTACCAGACTCAGCCATATTATGGCCAGGTTGACCGCTATGCATAATGTGTCTACCTAAGTCCGCGAACGCTTGATGCAGGAAAAGGACTAAACCAAAGCCCCATGAGTTTTTGGAGTCCAGCTTCGCATCAATAATCGCAAAGGTTTACCCTCAAGTGGTTGCTAAGAATGGTGTTTACATTAGGGAAAAGGGGATTTTCATACCCGTACTATCTGCACCGTGAATTTTCATACCTGGACAAATTCGTAGGATATTTTACAACCTAAACTTCAATAAAATTTAAATCTCATACCTATACTTGATACAACGTGCAAAAATCAGAGTCAATCTAACGGGTGTTAGTCAACTCCGTTACGGTGCTGAGTCATCGTACACGTGTACGCTGATCCCACAACATTCATGGAATCAGTTGGTATTCGGTGCTTCTCATGTGACTACGGCTCGCGGGTTCGAGTCCCTAATTTTGCAAAAAAACTTAAAACTTTGAGAACACATATCAAAATGACGTCGTTTCGATATGCACCGTAACGGAGTTGACTAACAGCCGTTAGATTGACTCCGATTTTTGCACGTTGTATCAAGTATAGGGTATGAGATTCAGATTTTATTGAAGTTTAGGTTGTAAAATACCCTACAAAATTGTTCAGGTATGAAAATCCACGGCGCAGATAGTACGGGTATGAAAACGACGTCGTTTTGATACACGTCAGCGTACACGTGTACGATGACTCAGCACCGTAACGGAGTTGACTAACACCCATTAAATTGACTCTGATTTTTGCACGTTGTATCAAGTATAGGTATGAGATTCAAATTTTATTGAAGTTTAGGTTGTAAAATACCCTACGAAATTGTTCAGGTATGAAAATCCACGGTGCAGATAGTACGGGTATGAAAATCCCCTTTTCCCGTTTACATTACTTAAAAGATCTGAAACCTGCCTCCCATTTTGGTAAATCTAGGCATTCATGGTTCATTGAGATCGAGATGATGTACTGCACCTACTTAGTCAAGGCATTTGCTTGCTCTTTGCATTGATTTGTCAACCCACAAGATAACGGTTCTCAAGTACTGCCACTAGAATCTGTTTATAAGGAGCCAAAGCTGGAAGAGATAATACATCAAGAGGTGGAATTAGCTTATTGTGGGCTGCCAAATCCACGCAAAGAGCAACCAAATGCCTAGTTTGAAATAGGTAAATAGGGGCAGAACGGCCTCTCAAATCTCCATCTCCATAAAAACTTTGCCTAAAGCTAAATTGCATCTCCCATCCTCATAATTTTCCCTTTTCTTTATGTCTTCGTCGTCGAAGTTTTTGCTACTATCGGGGTATACATTGTAGTCTAGAGGAATCTAATCCACCAACCGAGATACATGATCCTCAACTTCAAGGTCAAACCGATCCATTGTATATCATCTTCTCTTTTAGAGTTACTACCATCACTGCAAAATTAGACGCACGATGTTAAAAGCCGAAACAAAAACTGAAACACAAGAAGTTAAAAACCGCAACACATTATCATCAACATCAAACCAAGACATGACTATACTATATGCATCCTTAAAATCACAGACAACTTAATAATTAACGTATGCTTTAGTCACAAATGATGACCAAGAATTCAACTAACCATCTTAATTGTTCCCTAATAAATAGGCACAACTAAATTTGATTAAGTAAAACACAGAACATAAAAACGAAATTTAACAATAAAAACTTCTATAGCACACATCTTGATCGACTTCCCACTAGAGCACGTCTCGCAAACTGGGGCTTACAAATTGATACAAGCTGCTGTCTCTGTGGCTCATTCGCTGAAACTCGGGACCATCTCTTTCTTCACTGTGAAGTGAGTGAAGATCTCTGGGCAGAAGCAAACCGCAGACTAGGGTACGCACCGTTTACCTTCCACACTTGGGAAGCTTTCTCCCTCCGTAGGCTGGTCGCTCAGGTTGTCACTTACGAAATCTGGAGGGAGAGAAACAACCGTTACCACAACAACATCTCCACAGAGGTCCGTGTTTTATTCAAGGCGCTTGATAGGCAGATCCGGTACGCCATTATCGGAAAGAAAAAACGTAAGCTTTTTAAAAGTCTTATGCGTGTGTGGCTCAAGTATGACTAGAATTATTTTTTACTCTTTTCTCTGCTAGTAGATTCTTCCTTGTTTTTAACTTTTTTGCCAAGGAATGATCTGTTGTATCAAGTACATTGTAGCTTCTACAAGCCTTTTCATATAATGAAAATTCACATATTTAGCAAAAAAACTTATATAGTTTGTTCAACAGCCGATCTGCTTCAGGCATTTAAACAGAAATGAACATACAGCTAAATTGTCTCTCAAGTTTCCTTCACCGTAATAATATGATGATGGCCTCAATCAACTTACTAATACAGTAGTCAAAACTCAAAACCACTGAAAGTACTTGCAATTACTAAAATTGCATTTCATAATCCCAAAACCTTAAAAATTAGTAAGTTTTCCTCAGATCCACACATATACTCTTATTTGTTATCGGTGAAGATTGAGGAGATGTGTTAGACAATGTAGTTATTGGGCTTCGGTTTGTATAGTTGGGCCTTCGTTATGTCTTATATGACGGTCTATTGTATGTGTATATATATGAGGCATGTTTGCCCTAATGTGAACAAGAGAGTTTTCCCAATCATATCTCAAGCTTATCATGGTATCAGAGCAGCTTTCCTGAAAACCCTAAAGTTTTTTTCTTTTCCTTCTTGCTTAAGCTAGTTGCTTTTGGCAGTTTCTTTTGGTGTTTGTGTGAGTTCGTGAGACTCTTGTCCTCTTGTTTATTTGTGTGTGTTCGTATTAAGCTTCTTCAA